TTCCACAAAACTGCATCTAAAGATTTTAATTGTATTTTAAAACATCTGGCTGATTTGGTAACTTCTGAAAGACTCTTTTAATTTAAGCAAAAGACATCAGCAAGAACCAGATTCCAAAGTGAGTATCTTCTAATAAAAATAAAGCTACCCAGAGAAAATAGGTACAAAGAGCTGAGAGAAGCATAAAGTAACAAGAAATAGCTAAAGGAAATGGAATCAAAGTGAGTAGGGTTATACGGGGTATGCCTCCTGCCACTTGCTGGGCCTCATTCAGAATGGGGCTTTGGAAAGACTATTAAATACAATAATAAAAAATAATATAAAAATGTGGATTCCATAGCTATTGTTAGCAACACTGTAATGCCAAGATGAGACAGAACATGTGTTTCTTTCTTTAGGGCACCCACAAATTTATTTCCATACTATTGGTTTTTGTTGGCTCCTTGAAAATTCTTTGCACTCCACAATGTTAAGATAAACATTAACTTCCTCCCTTTAATGAGTAGAGTGGTGTTTATCATTTCAACAATTTAAATAATAACAACTACATTTCAAACCCTGGATTAATTATACTGTTTTATGATGCCTTGAAGTTTACAGAACACTTTCCCACACAGCCATTCAATCCTGCCAACAAGCTGTGAAGTGAGCGTCATTACTATCCCCATTTTATAGGGAAGAAAACTGAAGTTCAGAGAATCTCAATTGCCTCTGAGACTTTCATTCTTTCAATTTAATTCTTATTTCCACTCACATTCAGTGAACTTTTCCCAGTATCATGGAGCTAAGCGAACCAGGACTCACTGGGAACACTCAGTATGGGAGCAATAAGCACCTTTTCTTGCTTATTCTGTGCTATTATTAGAATGCTTTTCTATTGACTTACTTTTAAAATTCTGTGATTTTTTGAGTTCTTAAACCACATCTTGCTAAAAGAATACACAGATTTTCACTAACATGCCACCACCTACCCTATTCACTATGTCAAACAGTGGGAAGCTATGGACTTTGCCATTATTACCTTTTATTATGCACTAATTGCATAAAGACCCTGCCTTCTTCATTCATCAGAGAAACTTTTCTTAAGCCACTAAATTAATCTTTGGCCAAGTTTCCTGGCTTACAGGAAATCCCAAAGGAAAGGAGACATCTCTGTTATGTCACTATGTCCTTCCATTCCTCATGCTATGTGTGGATTGAGTTACCGATGAGCTAGATTCCCATCTGAATTTGTCAGGGATGTGTGACACCAGAAGAAATTAAAGAACGTCACAGAGGTGATGCCAGCCCCATCTCTATAATTCCATTCTGTCCTAACTTCTTTCCTTCTTTTTTACTAGGACCAGCTTGAGAAAATAGCTACAGAACAAATCTTAGCCTTCCTTTGAGTATTTGGATTGATTTTGGGGGGAAATTACATTTATACTGTGTGGCAGATCTCCCTGGTGATGGTCACGTCCTTGGGCCCACCTCTCAATTCAGCTGTAGCTGTAGCAAATGATCATCTCAACCTCATGTTGACAGCCTGTCATTTCAAGAGCATGCTGCCCATCTTTTTGCTTTCTACCTAGAAATTCTCCAATACCACAGGAGACCACTTGGCCTGATTCCACTGGGAGTAGCAAAAGCACAGCCCAGAAGTGCAGGGGAGTTAATGCCCCATGGGGCAACCCTCAACTAATGGGAATCAGAGGCCAGTTATTAACTGACCCAGTACCTGGTGCCTCAGTGGACAATTCTCTATGCTACTCCCACTGGGATCAAGCTCCCTTTGGCCACAGCAGAGATCTTCATAACTCACCTCATGTTGGTTTTCCCTCTTTCCCTGTCTCATCACCCCAATCCTTCACTTCTGCTCCTTGGGATCACCTCTAACATGAACTGCCTGCACACAAGTCCTTGCTTCAGGCTCAGGGTAACCATTTATATGGGTGGAGATGCTTCCCCTTCACCTTAAGCTAAGCTTTGGAGAGTGAGGTGTCCAGAGCCCTCTCTAGAAGAAGCTGAAAGTCCTCACTTAACAGGTAATTAGTGTCTCCAAGCCCATTAGAGAGTGTGCATTATTATTTATTGATTAAGCTTCAAGTCACCTTCTCAACGTCTTAAAGTTGAGATCTAATGATGGCCTTTAGAGTAACCTGCAAGGGGGGGACCATGCCCAGGGCCACCTTAAAAGTCGTATCATGTGCCAGGTGAGTACCACTGAGTCCAAGTCACCACTTCCTGACACAACAACTGTAACAATTTGTGGACTCAAATGTTAAAACTAGACAGGCATCCTAGAATTCCCAGTCTAAGAATCTCCTTTTATCAATGCTGGTTAATGAAAATGCAGAGTCCACAGCCAGTTCACGAGACTCTTTCGACTGCCCTAAACAAAAATGAGAAGACAAGGCCCTTCCAAGTCCATTTTAGACTCTAGGCCTTTGCATTTGCTATTTCCTCTGCCTACAATGTTCTCCTTGGCTTCTTGTCTTTTGGTCTCAGCTCAATTATGAACTCCTCAGGGGCCTTCCCTGACCAGACCAGTTAGAGCAGCCCCACCCTGTCAGTTACTATGACATCACCCCGTTTGTTTTTTTCATAGCACTTTCCGCTATGTGATACTGTTCTGTTTATTTATTTGCATATTTCTTTGAGTCTACCCTCCATAAGGATCTTGCCTGACTTATTCTCTGTTTTATTCCAAGACCCAGCATATAGTCAGTGTTCAACATTTGGGTGGAAGAAATGATAGCTATCCATATGCTATACTATAAACCTCACTTGCCCTTCTTGTAACGACATGACTGCTGTTTTTGATTACTCAGTTAGACTATTGGAAAAGAGTCCAGCTCTCCGGCTAGTTGAGCCCATGAGTTAACACTTCTGAATCTCTGGCATATCTCTAAATCCAGGAGTGGTGAGTTAGGTATGTGGGTTACCCATCCGTGGGCCACAGTCTTTTCGCTGGTGCTCTGCACCTTAAGCTCAGGATGAGCGGTCCATAGAATCCATCAGTGTCATCAGGACACAAAAGAAGATGGGAAGGAGGAATAAACGAATCAAATGCTCTTCATCCTCCCGTTTGGCATACCTTTAGCTCGGGTATGTTGAGTGGAGTGAGACTGAGGCCCTGAGGGAAAGAGATGTGGAAAAAATGCTTAGACCTGGCCCTAGAACTTAACAGGGAAAAGGGAAAGGAGTCCCAATGGTCACACACGGTTCAGATGAGTTTACTAGGAGAGGGGACCAGAAGAAGACTTGAGGAGACTGCTCCAACCGGGAATAACAGCTGTGCATTGCAGCTCATGCATCTCGTACTATATAGTCTCAGAAACCTGAAATGAAGTGTTGAGAAACTGGATAAGAATGTGGTCCAGCAAAGGAGAGATGAGGGAAAAGCAACACTGAAAGCAGGAGTCACAGTGCTTCCTTAGCAATCATTTTCAGATGTCTCTAACTTGACAGCCCCCTCACAACTTTTTCTCTATTACTCACATCTTTTCCACCTCATGGCTGCTGAGATCAGCCTTCAACCTGATGTACTTGCTTGGAGATCTTAATATGCAATCATAAAGTTTCAGAGCAGAAAATGGAGTTTTTATGAGAAAAAATAATCTTAAGTGGAATTTTCCTTAGTTTATGATATGCACCTACAGTCCTACTTATCCTGCGTGTTCTAATTCGTAGAGCAAAAATTAGAAAGATGTCTATATGCTGATTATATTAAGGACCCATAAAAGAGTAGGCCAGAAGTAAATGGTCAAGTGTCTGGACATGGAGGTAGACATCCCACTGCCCTTGACTGCATCCACAGGATGAAGAAAAGTCAACTGGAAGAAATAAGACCCAGCAAGTATGTCCAAGAAGTGGCATTTCATAAATAATTACTGCTGCCTTTGGTCTCTCTGAGAGTTACTGACAAACATCTCTTTTTCCCCTAAACTTTGTTTCTCCTTCTCTTCTATTATTTATTAATTGATTCTTATTTATCAAATGCATACTAGGATTAATAAAATATGTTCTCTTTCCTTAAATGCTCTTATACTGTATGGGGGCAGGTAGACATGTAAATAGGCATGTAATACAAATAATGACTTCCTGGAAACGACTTGATAAACCATTCTCACTAAGACGCTAATGACTGGTAGGTAATAGCCTAAGCTATTAATTAATATCTCCAGGGATGCCTGCAACCAAACAGGGGATCATGCCTTAACACATTGAATTTTGTGGAATTTCAAGTGTTTGTATTCTCACTTGATATCATACTCTCCCATGGTCTATATTAGTACAGTGAAAAACTGGGAGCATCCAAGCCTCCCAGCAGAGCCATTAGGCAGAAGGGAATTATTCTAAGAGTGGCAGAAATCCTCCCTGCCCCACCCAAAATATTGCCCTGCTGACTGTTTGCTGATTTCCTAAATTGAAACTGTTGATAGCGAGATTTTTTTGTAAATGTATAAAGTGGAGCAATATATCATTTTATGGTATCATCTAGTTACAGATCTACTGAAAACAATCTAGTACAATTTGTCCTCAACCGAGCTTAAGTGACTAATTCTGACACAGTGCCATATGTCCCCCAGCACTGGAAGAATGGTGGAAAGGAGACCTACTGCAGAGCTGAGACTTAAGTAAACTTAGCCTTTAGTAGGTATAATATTAAACCATAAGAATCATGATTTCATGCTTTAGTGCATGCTACAATAATATGAGAATTAGCCCTACAGCAGGAACACTTTTCTACTCTCACCTCTGTTAATTATCTAGCCTCATGGCCTTGGACAAGTCACAAAGCTCTCTGAGTCTTGCAGTCCTCATCTATAAAAAAGAAGACCATTAGGTTCAATGAATCCAAGGTCCAACCTACCTCTAATCTTGCATAGTAGCTAACGTTTATTGAGTACTTAGAAGGAATAAGAACATTTTCTGGACTGACCATCTAGAATTTTTTCTCATGTATTTCCAAATTACAGTTTGTTTTTACTTATATTCAAATGAACTTGGCAACTTACCAAATAAATTGTCAGAAAGAGAAAATTCATCCATGGCAGGTAAGTGGGAGTGTTCGATGAGATTCATTTTTGATCCCATTCAAACTCTTCTATTTGAGAATGCACCTTTGTGATAGTGGTCTTCAACAAAACACCCTGAAAGGCAAATAAATAAATAGAGAATTTGGGATAGGAGGGGAATGGTTAAGAGAGAGAGAAGGAGGGAGGGAGAGAGAAAATTAATTTACAAAGTGTAAATGTAGACATTTTGCCATAGGCTTTCTGTATGTATCTGGTCTCAGCATTCACCATTTTTACATCTCCTTTGGACTACAAATGTCCAGATATGTGCTTTCATAAAAGATATTCTCTAATTTATCTGGGAAAACATCACATGTTTTCATTAAAGTTTCAGCACTTAGGAGATTTGGGCAAGACATGATGACATTTTGGCTATGTCTTCATTTCTCTTACATATAGAAAAAACAGAAACAAATAGAAAGGCCTTGATTAAAAATGGGATGAATCAATGATTTATTAGCTTAAACTTTAATCTAAAGTTGAACAGTTCTTTGCAAAGACACGAAAATGATTTAAGCCGTTTTTTGCTGGAATTTTCTAAAGTTGAATAGGCATCATGTCAGCAGATCAAAAATTCAGAAAGTTTTCCCCAAAATCTTATTTTTGTCTTTCAGGGAAAATTTCTGGGACTTCCATTTTCACTCTCATGATCTACCTTGGTCATATATTTATCTGGGATAAAAATAAGTTATAGTAAAAAAGAAAAATAATAGTAAATCTCACCAAAATGCCTGAAGTTACATCCTGAGGAGATGTCCAGAATGAATCCAAGTACCCAAGAGAAGCAGTGTTCCCTTTCAGCTATATCTCTAGGTCTTCTTTTCTTCCTTCCTTCCCTCCTTCCTTTCTTCCAATATGTCTTCTACCTCCCTGAGGAAGTAATTTGAAAGGTCAAATAATAAAAAGATATGCTATCAGAACCTCTTTTCCCAGGCTGTTTTCTGAGTGTCATTTTCAAACCTTTTTATCCTGTCTCCACCAAGAAATCATTTTGTTTACAAGTAAATAACAATTTATATTTGCTACTCAAGAAGAAAATATAGGATTTTTGTTGGACAAATATTTATTTCATTAGAACTTCCCTACTATTTGTGTCACTGTTTCTTTATCTTTCACTCAGCAAAATGTTCCAGCTTCAGCAAAAGCAAGTTTCAGATACATTTGGCTACTAATAAGGTCATCTGCTAGACTGCATCTGCTACATTCATTCATGTATTCATGCTTTCAACAAACATTTATTGAGAACTTATTCTGCACTAAGCTCTGTGCTGGATCTTTGGAGATAAAATGGTGAAAGAAAAAAAGCATCCACGATCCATGATACCAAGCTTAACGAGGAGTAGAGATATAAAAAATAAGCACACAAATATACAGATGATTACATATCGTTGTGAAAGCTGTTGGTGAAGGCAAAGATCAGGACCCTCTAATAGAGAGGTTTGGGTTTGAAAAGATGTCAAGAGATAGAGAAGTAGCTGAAGGGGAATGTGGTTTCAAGGGCAATTTTTAAAGATGGGTAATACCAGGACACGTCTGAATTGATGAGAAGACACTAGAGAGGGAATCGTTGAAGAAGCAAGAAAGAGGGAGAACTTCCTGTGAAAGGATACAAACTGTGCCCACTGTGGGAATGCAGACATATCTAGGTCCATCTGTTGAACCAATGGAATGGCCTAACCAAAGTTTACTGTCTAGTAAGCCAACGGGCTGGTTGGGAGAAAACCCATTCTAGACTCAGAGGGAGCCAGGAACCGTGACCTTTACCCCAAAGCAAAGCCTCACTCATTAGAGGATTGTGTCATTCTCAATGTAGCACAGTGTTTAACCAACATGTACTAGATTCAAGAGGCCTTTCTGGCACCCTGAAATGAGAAGGGAAAGAGTCAGAAATAAAAATGAAGTCTGGAAACACTGAAGTATAAGGTAGACCCTTCCAACAGAAGGCAACAAGTAGGAAAAAGAGCTCATTTCAACTCCATCCTCACCCTCAAACAACTCTTTCACATATCACAGTGGAACTTTGACCTCCTAGGGCCTTTCTGGGACAATTGTGAAACAGCAGCAGCCCCCTAGCTATCGCCATAACCCTGGAGAAGTGCCCAGCAGACGAACTGTGACCACTGGATGGGCACTGCTCTCCCCACGGACATAAAAAGTAGTGGAAGAAGTGGCCAGAGCCGACTCGATTATGAACAAATATGAAGAGCCCCCAAGGCACTCCTGAAATACTAGGGTGGGGGAAGGGCTGTGATAGGAAACTGGAGGTCCTGAGGAATAAGCCAGTAAAAGTTGAGTTGTCGGCATTAATGGGACCTCATCCATATTTACAAGTAGTTGAGGACTAGGGAAATTCAACTTTCAATATGTGTATATGAATTGTGTATGTATATATGCAATGTGTATATATTAATATATGTGAATTATGTATAATAATTGTGCATTTGTTTCTGCATATTGTATAATAAATGGGTTGACAGACCCCTCAAAATTCAGGGAACTATTGTTCTAGATAGAGTCTCTCCTATCTTTGGAATAGGAAATTCTACAGTTTCCCATAATAATAATTTTCAGGAACCCACAATGTGTAGAGTCATGAGTTTGTCCTAATATTTAATCCAAACTTATACTCTGTAATTTAAGACCTGTTTGCTCTGGTCTTAAAAAAAACAGGAGATTTCAGCTCTGTGACTCCAAATTCAGGCTTCCCTCTGTGTTAACTTTTTCTCACATTTGTCTTCTTTAATCTTCAGTCATGGTCATCAAGCTCCCTCATACGTCTGCAGCGCATTACAGCTCTCTAATATTTTCCAGGTACACTCATCTTCATTTTGGATTCTTCTAATTTTCCTCTATGTGTTCATACAAACTTGGCACCTTCAATTCAAGTTCAAGGAACACAATAGGCCTTCAAGAAATGTTGGCTCAACTAAATGATCTGTATTAATTGTTTTTCCCACTTAGCTCTGCCAAATTGGCTGACATTTGGCATGCTCTTCCTGGAGAAATGGCACAAGATAAGGATTTCATTCTCCTATTGGCACAAAGGACATAATTTGTCACTCTTTCACCCAAACGAAAATCCAGTTCCCCTAATTCTGTATTATTTGGGTTATTCTTGGCTGGAGACCCACTATGTGGGTGCCCCCGATTAGCTAACAACAGAGCCCTGCAGAATCCAGACAGTTAGCAGGGTCTGCTCAAATCAGGTTTGTTGGGCTTATGATTCCTGAAGGGCTTAAAGAAAAAGAAATCCTTTAATCTTTAAAATCGTAACATAAGCACATGGTAAGCAATTCAAACAGGACACTGAAAAATATGTCTTCCTTCCAGCTCTGTCACCAATTTCCTCCCCAAAGTACAACTACAATGGCTGATTTCTTGTGTATCCTTCCAGACACTATGCCCATTCTTAGCATATAGAGGGCCCTTAAAACACTGTACCTTAATCTGGGGTTTGGTAAACTATCATCTGCAGTCCAAAGCTGGCCCACTGCCTGTTTGAAATTCAAACTCAAGTTTGAAATTATATGAAATTCAAATTTAAGTGTTCTCAAATAAAGTTTTATTGGCACACAGCCACATCCATTTGCTTATGGAATATCTACGGCTTCTTTCTCCTTACAATGGCAGAATTATAACACACACTACATGGCCCACAAAGCCAAAAACATTTACTACTCAGTTTTTCACAAACGAATAGAAAATTTCAAAAAAATCAGGTAAAATTATAGGTAAAGTATGAATAAATGTAATGATTACCTTGGGGGTGTATACCCACTTAATTATACACATTTCATCATAGTAGGGTCTTCTTTACCTCTTAACAGCTCCTTCCCGGGATTGGCAGCGTCAGCCATAATTGGCTTGTCATTTAATGAGCACCCTTCCTGTCTCAAGCATTTGGCAAGTGTTTCCACGTACATTATTTCTTTCATTAGGGTTACTTCTGTGTCTTCCTTTCTCTAATACTCTTCACCCCCTCGTTGGGGGAAGGACTGCAATAGGACGACTAACTCCCAGGAGACCCCAGACCTTAGCTCTGGAATCTTTTTTTCCCTTCAAATCCTCCCTTGCATATAAGGAGTCATCTTATAGGTTGAGAATAAGCAGCAGGTATTCTCTACACTAGTGGCCTTTGAATAGTTTTGCTCATTTGCTCTCTATAACAAGTTTAAAAACCAATACGCTTCCTCAACAGATGTTTGGGTTGACATCTAAATTTTTTCACTAAAAAATGAAAGAGTTGTGGGGCCGGCCCAGTGGCACAGCAGTTAAGTTGGCATGTTCTGCTTTGGCAGCCTGGGGTTCACCAGTTCAGATCCTGGGCATGGACCCATTGCTCATCAAGCCATGCTGAAGCAGCATCCCACATAGAAGAACTAGAAGGACCTACAACTAGGACATACAACTATGTCCTGGGGCTTTGGGGAGAAAAAAGAACAAGACGGAGATTGGCAACAGATGTTAGCTCAGGGCCAATCTTCCTAAAAAAATAAATGAAATAGTTGCAAAAAATGTAATTTCTGAAATATTGTAAAAATTGACACTTTTACATGTTGTTACATTACTGTTAAATCTATTCAATTAAATCTAAATATCATAGCAACTTAATATCCTCCCTCATCCTTCTAAGAAATACGAGAAGATATTCTTCAACATTTGGAAATTTCTTTTATCATTCCTGTTCTTCCTTCAGTTCGCATTTCATTCTACTTCACTGCAGAATTTTATCCTAATGTAGCATATTTTTATGCTTGAATGTCTATTATTGATCATCTTATCACACTTTTCTGCAATTAAAATATGCATATAAATTTGGATTTTTAAAAAAATTTCTAGCGACTTTAAGATTTTAAAGGTTTAAATAAAACATTTTCTGGATTGAGTTTATCACTAGTTATTATTAGTGTCCATTTGATCAAAACTACACCTTGCCCATTAGATTTTCTCTACAAATAGGGTGGATTATTCTCCTCAGTACCAAACAGCACAAGTGGAGAATGCTGTCTGTTGTGGAAGAGAGAGCCTGCAGATGAGAAAGGAAGACACCATTGTCAGGGAGCAGCCACAGCCAGCATTGGCAGCGACAGCCACGTGCACCAGAGGAAGAATACCTCCTTAGAAATACAATTAAAGGTTCTGTTTAAATAATGAACTTCGAGAAACTGCAGACAGAGAGCCTAAGAATTCTCTGAAGTTAGTGATAAAAGTCAAGAGAAGAGGAAGCCATCACTTCTATTCAGATGAATTCATGTATGAGTTAATATAAAAAGGATTAAGTTTGGAATCAGAGCAGATAAAGAAAAATGGCTGAATTTGCACACAAATTTCCCTGCCTTCATGGACTGTTTTCCTGAAAAGTTTTTAAAATTTATTTTTTAAATGAAAGTATTTTTAAAATAAAAGGGTCATTGCAGAAAATTCTGACAATATGGAAAAGCTTTGAAAAAAATGTCAAGTTGCATTCTATAACTTTTTTTTTTTTAGTTTACACTCCCACCAGCAGTGGATAAGAGTGCCTTTCTCATCACACTTTCATTGGCATTACCTACTCTTACTTTCAACAGTCTTTTCTAATTTGCTAGGTGACAAATCCTATCTCGCTGTATTAAATTGCATTTCTTTGATGACCAATAAAACTGAAAAAAATTTTTCACATCTTTATTGTCTATTTGTGATAGTTTCTTTCCACTTTCTGTTTATGTCCTTTGCCATTTTTCTATGGAAGTTCATCTTTTTTATTAATTTAGAAGAGATCTTTGTATCTTGAACGTATTAGCACTCTGTTATATTTGCTGCAAA